AATTCCGAAAATATAATGATAAAGTTGACAAAGGTATTGTTGAGTTTAATAACGAGAATCTTTGACTTTAACGTTTTCTGTATTAATTGAACCTCTTTAAACGTATCTAAAGGTCATATCTATAATTACCAAGCGGAAACAACGGTAAAAATCGAATTTCATCAGGTTTATTGAAAGTCGTTACACAAATGATTCCATTCGACCCCATAATTACAGACGAGTAGCATTCAATATAAGAAAACACCAAGTTTCAACAAAGGAACAAAGTTTCTGTAAACATAAGTTGGCCCCCCCTCACAGAATTTCCTGCGTAACTTTCTCAGCGCAATAATTTTGATTGCTGTGAATGCAATGTGGGTTATTTACCCATTAATATTAATAATAATAATATGACTTTATTTCCCACAGGTGCCACCCAGTTACAGAAAAAAAAATTATAACATCACAATATTTTAATTAACTAAGATATAGCTATAAGCAAAAATACAAACTAATATAAATTATAAAAACTAATCGTAATCATAATCATAACTACTAACAATCTACTGCATGCCGAAATGATCCAAAGTTACCGCAACCACCATGTTCAAGGAATCAAAAAACATATCGCAATGTGGCGGAACCTGATTGCCGTGATCGGACATTAACGAGACAGGAGATTTTCGTAAAGTGTTACTATTACTACGGCAATTATAGAACGTGAGGGGACAGCTTGCATTGAGACGCGGTAGAATAAAGGATAACCTTTCCAACAGCCAGCATTGAATAAATATGAATAAATTTAACTATGTAAACAACTCTGCGCTGTTGTAGTGAAAGAAAACCAAATCGCGAAAGGAGAAACGCGTAATCTGCACCGCCCATAAACAAGATCCAGTCGAAAGCATAGATACTTTAAAAATGTCTTTTGTATAGCGCAAGTAAAGCACATTCGCGTAAAACTGATAGAACGGATACCAAACAATTACCGCATACTCCAACCGCGATCTAATCAACGCAAAATAACGTACATAAACATCTGATGGGCAGACCCTTACAGTTCCAACAATAAACCCATAAATTTTACAACAATTAGCAACTAAGTTAAGAATGTGTTCGTTAAAAGTCAGTCCACTTTCAAACAGCACCCCAAGGTCAGAGCACTTACGTTCGGACATCAACGGTTGATTGGCCAAGTAATATGCACAGTCAACTGTGTTTAATTTTTTAGAAAATGTCATGGTAAAACATTTAGAAATATTAAGTGATAAACGGTTGCTAAGACACCAATGCTCAACACGAATCAGGTTTTATTGCAAGCGTTCACAATCGCTGAGTTCCCCAACAACCGTGAATAACTTCAAATCATCAGCAAATAGCAGCTTCTCACAATCCAAGATCTCAGTTACGTCATTAACAAAAGCCAGTAACAGCAATGGACCGAGGTTGGATCCCTGGGAACCCCTGAAGTTGGAGAAAATCTTCCGGAAGTGACGCCGCCATAATTAACAAACTGCTGCCGACCTAGTAAATAAGATTTCATTAACGACAACAGAGGGGCACTTAATCCAAAGTTACTCAGCTTTTTTAATAAGATAAAGTGATCCAGCTGATCAAACGCCTTCCAAAAGTCGAGATACACAGAATCTACCTGCCCTCTAGCGTCGATTACATCAGCAACAAATTGGGCGAAGCATGTCAGATTGGTGACAGTGGATCGACCACAAACAAATCCGTGTTTGGACTGGGCTTATGTACTTATTCAAAAGTCTTCGAGAAACCACACAGCAGCGATATAGGTCTGTAATTCGCAATCTCAGCAGGGTTGTCCTTCTTCAAAATTGGACAGACGTATGACTTCTTCCATAACGACGGAAAGGTAGAAGTAGACAGGACAAGATTCAAAATCGAAAGCAATAGGGCGGCCAGAATCGAAGCACAGTTTCTCAGTAAAAAAACTCGGTATCCCATCAACTCCAGCAGTAAGAGTATTCTTTGTACGCTTCAACGCATCCTCAACCTTCTCCAAGCTGAAGTTCTCCCCTGACAAACAAAGACTATGATCGGGGAAATCAGACCCCACAAAAACAGGATCAGATTGAATATAAACGGACTCAAAATAATCAGCAACAGCATGAATACAATATGCGAATGATACAATTCGCATGACCACAATACTTTGACCCGAACTGAACTCCAGGTTTCGATTCGTCATATGGCCTGGAATGCGAGTACCGCCCTTCCGTGACCGAACATAGGCCCAGAAGGTACTGGGATCAGAAATCAAAGATCGCTCAACATCGCTCATGTACGCATTATATGCATCGGTAATGAGGTGTTTCGATAGAGATCTGTATCGTTTAAATTCATTCAGGCAATACAGTGAACCAGTACACTTATGCCTTGCGCGCATATTTTCTTTCATGCGAATACAGTCCTTTACCTCCTCGTGAACCAAGCAGGCCAACGACGATTCGTAGAATCTCTCACAGTTTTAGGCATTGCTAAATTAAAAACATCGTGTAGCTTGTTATAAAGAAGCCGGCATGCATCATCTAGCACTCCAATACCATCCAATTCGACCAATTCACCTCACCCAACATCCGATACAACAAAGGATAGTCTGCACGCTTAAAGTTATAGGTGGGTAGGCCACGATGCTTAAACATAGAAACCTTTTGAGCATAATCCAGAACAACTGCTAAAGCGGGGTGATGGGAATCCTCAGCAAGCAACCGATCGAGATCGCGTGTGACTGCGCAGCTCATATTGGCAAAGATCAGATCATCGATCGTTGGTGTTCACAATTGAATTGTAGTGACGAAAATCATGGCAATGTCGGAAATTTGTTAAGGTCGTTTTAAATCTATCATTGGTACCAATGGAAGTATAGGAAGAGACATTAAAATCACCAAGAAGAACAGCGCATTCATTAGCCAGATATTCAAACGAATTAAACGTGTCAAAAAATATCCGATAAATATCCGGCGATCCCATGACTGCCCCTTCGCATTGCTCCTAGAACACTCCCTTCCAGCTAAGTTATGTCGACGATAGTCTGAACTCCACTAGTCCTGCGATATACTTTGGCAACCCCTCCGGGATGAGTTTCTGGAGAACACCATCCACGGCATCTTTGACTTTGTTGAATAGAGATTAAACGTTGAAACTTACTGGGCTGAAGGTCCTGAAGGTCTAGCTTCTTATAATTCTTCTGATAACTGAGAGAATTTAAGGCACTGAAAATAGGGCGTAACGGAACCTGTGGTTTTTGGATTTTAGGTAATCCATATATCCTTTACTATCTTTTCGGTTGGGTCCTTTTTTATCTTCTTATAGGTGGCTGGTTCTCCTTTGTTTGTTTGTTTTTGGTGGCTTTATTGTTTTAAGCACTCTCGCTATGTCTTGACGAATTTCTTCTATTTTCACTGCACGTATTCTGCGAATAGCCGCTTCTACTTCACATATAATTGCTTCTCTGCATAACTTAAGCCTAAAACGAATACAAAAACGATGAATTTGTCGGGTTTAACGGTCAAAATGATGATTAATGAAACAACTTTCTAAAAGTGCTAATGTTTCGATTGTTTATTCAATCTTCCTCAGAGCTATTCAATGCTAAAAGGTTTTACAAGAGAAAACACCAACAATTAAAAGTTTGATAATCATTCATGAAAAATTAACTAGCAAAAAAACAACTTACTTGTTTAATGAGACTAGGGAATGAGCAACGTTTGACATTTGAAAATTTTAGAAAAATTACGTTAACAATTTAAAATTTAACACACAACCCTCGGTTAAGTTTAAGCTAAACCGTTAAACCCGACAAATTCATCGTTTTTGTTGCTCACGTACGGTCGTGGATACTTCTTGCCGTTTAGCGAATACTTTAGTTTCCTCCTCTGTTAATGGGACGCTGATAGGACGGCTGTTTGGATTGGCAAATCATTGTTCTTCTTCTTGTTCACGTTCGGCCTTCTCCATGGTTATCCTTTTTATTTTGTCCCATATAATGGCCGATATATACGTGAACGACGTCGAACCGGAACTATTCTCTAATAAATATTCCATATTTACAGATGATATACCTAGTCTTCTATGTAAGATACGTGGACAACATTTTTATAACACATAACAGATATCCAGCAAAAATAACAGTCTTATACAACATATTCAACGATATCAATGACATTTCCTTTACGCTAGAGATAGAAAAGACTGTACACTTAACTTCCTCGATTTGTAGATCTCCAGAAATACCAATGAAGGCTCACTTCACTTTAATATCTATAGAAAGCCCACGTCGATAGATAACCAACATAAAATGGCCAATTTTAGATTTCTCTCGAATGGAATATATAGCGTAATGATAATATTGCGAATGCAATCAGAAAGGTAATAAAGATGGGTTTAAACAATAAATATACAGTCTCAGAAACAATACATAAATTATAATATCCATAATGCCTACATCAATAAAATAATATACTCACACTATAAAGTGACACATAAATATGTTACTCTACCATAATAATAATGTTATGATCGAGTAAGAGATGGCAACTCCGTCTGGAGCGAAAGTGCGGGAAAACGGCAAGCAATTCTAACCGCACTCTAATAACCGTTACGATTATGCTACTATCTGGTTACTATAGAGTTTTATTTCTGTCTACCAATACCAATGTAAATTAATAAAGAAGTAATAGTTAATTAAGAAGATATTTGTCTTCACTACAATCTCCTCGGATACAACAAATTGGCGACGAGGATAAAAAAGAAATAAATACAGAGGAAATACATTACAAGGAGATTCGTTGTCGAAAGTTTTCAACCTTCAAAATCGAAATGGAATCGTTGGGTAAAACGTTGAACACGAGATTCAACGTGTTCCAAGTTAAAGAGGAACTCAGGCTACCGTACTTACTTCATTGCATGGGTCGTATGGAGTCGTATGATACATTATGTGATAAATTGGCTCCTGAACAACCTGAAAAGAAAACTTTAAGGAAATCGTGGATCTTATGGATCAATTCGACAACCCAGCACCTTTGGAAATTGCTGAGATGTTCCGGTTTCAATGCAGCAAACAACAAGAAGGAGAAACTATCCAGGAGTTCCTGTACGCACTACAAAAATTAGCAATTAACTGTAAGTTCGGAAACTTTTTAAAGTTAGCTTTAAGAAATCAATTTGTATACGGTTTACATTCAAAAAGAATACAAAGTAGATTATTAGAAACGAAAGATTTAACGTTAGATAGGGCAGTAGAGATAGCAAGCGGTATGGAAATGTCAGAAAGGGATACAAATCAATTACATTCGAGAGCAAATACAGCAAATTCGTTAAATTCTAAGATTAAGAAACAAAATACAATGCATGTTAATTTTGAAGAGAATAAAAATGCTTTTGTAAAACCTAAACGTGATGTAAAAAAATGTTATCGTTGCGATACTACAAATCATCTTGCGGACAAATGCGATAAGATAAATATTACTTGTAATTTTTGTAAAAGAAAGGAGCATTTGCAGAGAGTGTGTTTTAAAGCTAAAAATTCGAAATCTAATACAAATGTAGTTGAAGAAATAGAGAACCAAGAGGAATAATGTTACCGTAAATAATGTTAACGAAGCTGGTCACTTATGGGCTAAATACATAATTAAATTACTTGTTAATGATAAAGTAATGGAAATGAAGGTAGACAGTGGAGCACCAGTAAGTTTAATGGGTAAGAATGATTTTGGAGAAGTTTTCGAGAATTTACAATTACAACATACGGAGTTAAGACTCATTTCTTATTGTAAGACTACGTTAAATGTAAAGGGATATGCCAGAGTTAAAGTACAGCATAACAATAAAATTGCGAATTTAAAGTTATATGTGGTAGAGGGGAATAAAAATAGATTGTTGGGGAGGGAATAGATACGTACGTTAAATATCATTTTGAACGATTTGGATAGCAGTAAAATTAATCAAATCACGGAAAAAGATGAAGAATACCTTTCAAAATTAGAAAGGTATATATTGGTAGGAGACCAATATCTTTTGCTTTACAACCTTTAGTAGAAGAAGAATTGGAATCAATGATGCAACAAGGAGTTTTAGAAAAGGTTAGTATTTCAAATTGGGCCACTCCAATAGTCGAGTTATTCTTACAAATGGCAGGAGGAGTTAAATTTACCAAAATAGATATACAAAAAGTATACTTAAATTTGAAAGTAAAAGATGAATATCGAGAATTACTGACTCTTAATACACATAAAGGACTATACAGAGTAAACCGATTAATGTTTGCAATATCGAGTGCACCGGCAATATGGCAAATGCAATGGAACAAATATTACAAGGAATTCCAGGAATCACTATTTTTCTGGATGATATACGTATCACTGCTCCAGATACGAAAAGTCATTTTGAAAGACTAGAATTAGTAGATAGCAGATTTAATATCAAACAGAATTTTCTCTGCAATCTAGTTGTATAATGAGAGGACAACGAGTGGTTATACCGACAACATTACAAAAGAAGGTTTTAGAGGAATTACATACGGCACATTTTGAAATTTTAAAAATGAAGAGCTTAGCTAGAAGTTATTGTTGGTGGGCAGGAATTAGCGCAGATATTGAAGAATTGGTAAAAAATTGCGTAAATTGTAATAAACTTAGAAATAATGAGAGTAAAGCAGAAACACACATGGATTACGCAGGACCTTTAAATGGAGGGTATTATGTTATTTTAGTGGATTTTTGGAATCCACCAAATGGAATTATACATAAGGTTACAGCACCATATCACCCTGCAACTAATGGCCAAGCGGCCAACATTTATTGAGAGTAATGAAGACTGAAAATGGAAACAGAAACTTAGAATATAAGAATAATATTATTATAGAATTAAACTAATATTAAAAGTAAAACTAGAACTAACACTTGAAACTTTGGGTTTTGCCGTGCGTCTTTTAAGAAAAGGTTTGACGTTTCGGATGCCATGTTGCAACCTTCTTCAGAAACTTGACTTCGAACCAGTTTCTGAAGAAACTTTCAGAAACATTCTAATAAAAATAACCGTTACGATTATGCTACTATCTGGTTACTATAGAGTTTTATTTCTGTGTACCAATACCAATGTAAATTAATAAAGAAATAATAGCTAATTAAGAAAATATTTGTTTTCACTACAATCTCCCCGGATACAACAAATAATAATAATAATCTTTATTTGTTTATCAATACAATATAAACGTGTATTTATGTATTTATTTAAACGTGCATAGGGTGTTTATTTTTATTTTTTTTTGTTTCTTTAAACGAGATAATAAATCGTTTCTAATGTCATTATATGCAGGTAAATTTTTGATTATGATATCAAAGCAAAACGAAAATTTGTGACCTTTGTTGAGTTTTCCTTCATCTGCTGTAAATAAAATTGTTGTGAAAATTTTAAATTGTGTAAGACCACAGGTTCAGATGGAGTTTTACTGTATTTTCTCTTCCTCTTTCTTGGTTTATCCTCAAGTTATTAATCTTTTTCATTTTCTTATTATGATCTTTCTTTTTCTCTAAAAATGCTTGTGCCTGTGATTGTTGGATTAGCAGGTCTAATTCTAGATGGTGTAGTTGTTCTCTAATGATTCTATGCAGTTTTGAGAATTTCTCATATTGAAAATTAAGAGCTTTAAATTGTCGACGTTTTTCTTCTCGTAGAATTTTTGTTGTAATTTGTTGTTTCGTTTCTATTCAAAGTTTATTAAATTTGATGTTTGTGAACTGTGTAGGGTGATGTTTTTTTTTCAAACAAATATTTATAAAATTGATGTGATTCTTAACAACCTCCAACTTAACATACACTTTTTTAAAACCATGGATTGAAGTAGAAATGAAGTTGAAGCAAGTTTCTTAAAAATATATAATGAATATATAAAGGAAATTATTGTATATAAAATTTCTAACTTGCTTGTATTTTAATATTTTTTAGCACCGGTGGATGATGTGTATTATTGGTACCGGTTTTGACTTTTAAGTCATTCACGACTTAAAAGTCAAAACCGGTACCAATAAACATTAGAATACAAGCAAGTAAGAAGATTTATATATAACAATTTCCTTTATACATCCTTTATATATTTTTAATAAACTTGCAACATGGATTCCTATAATAAATATATTATAGAATTTCGAAAAAGTAAAATATGCGCCGTATTACGAATATATCAGGCAACCACCTGTTTAAAATTGAAATTTTTCGTCAGGTTGTTTTTCATTCGACCCTATAATTACCGACGTAGCATTCAATATGAAGAAAACACCAAGTTTTTATCTTTTGGAACAAAGTTTCCATGAACATACGTGTTGGCCCACTTCACAGAATTTACTTCGTAACTTACTCAGCGCAACAATTTTGTTTGTTGTGAATGCAGTGTGGGTTATTTCCCCATTAATATTAGAAATTATAAGTAAGTGTTATCGTAACGGTATCGAGGAGAAATGTTATCGTCGTTATTATTGCAGATTGCAAGATGAAATTGGAAAAATGTTTATTTCATATGCAGTTTAATCTAATTGGAGTATTATTTGTTGTTTTTGTCATCAAAATATTGCGTCGTCGACACGTTTTATTTGAAATAATTAATGTATTGGGCGACACGATTGAATTGGGTAATCCAGAAAAAATTAAATTAGTTGAGACAAAAACGAAAACGTTATTGAAAATGATCCGTTATGGAGGATTTTTTGTGGTATTGTTTATGACACTCTTTATTATGTTCGATGGAGATTGTGCTAAATTTAAAAATGTTGAAAATTGTTTGATACTCCAGTACTATTTTCCTTTTGATTTAAAGCTTTGGGAAATAACATTAATGATGATGTTTCAAATGTACACGATACGAATTGTACTAAACGTTTTATTATTTATATATGTATTGTATTGGTATTCAGTGGAAAGATTACTCTTGCGTATAGAAAATATTAAGAAAATGATCGGAAATATATATTTGACGCGAAATACGAAAAGAAATTTAAAAATGTTGCGCCCTGTAGTTATATATCATCAAGATTTATTCAGGTATGCATTAATTTCCGAGGTATCTATTTGTTATCCTTTATTATATAACATAGACTATATTATATAAGTCAGCAATGTCCTGTTGATATTCATCCCAATCTTATCGATTACAGCTCTGCGGGATCCTAGCCCATAAGCAACAGTGCAAAACGAATGTATTTAACGTTCAACATTCACAAGAAGCAATTTAACTATATTATACTATATATAACTATATAGCTCATATACATATTTAACTATATAACTCATGAAAATAAAAATAATTTTAAAAATCTCAAATCAATATCTGCTTAAAATCGTCACAGCATCAAGTGGCAAGCAAAAACCAAATAGATAGCAAAAATTCCGGCCGGTGTAATTCGTATTTACCGCATTTGAAAAAGATATCATTATAATCCCCCATCTCAGAAACCCACACGAACAGCTGGGAGACACCAAAACATTAATTTTATTTAGATAGGCGCGATAACATCTATGATCGGACTTCAGTCTGACAACAGTTGATCTCGATCTTTCGATCTAACATACATTTAATGTGACCGCAAGTTTTAGTGCATTGGAAATAGGCCAAAAAATCGTTATTTTAAATGGAATGCTATGGTATTTTTTACATGGACCATGTTTATCAGAAGGGGACCAACTGCCAAAGTATAAAAATGGCAGGAAATCGTTCCAAAGGTAAAACATTGTAGATGCTGACATATCGAAGATTTTAGTAACATTTTTATAGGTTTATGAGTATCATATTTAACTAATCTTTGAATAATAATAACGTTGAAAAAAAAATTTTGTTTATTTTTTACAGTTTTAGTACTTGGTTCCTTGCTGAATAGTAAACAGGTAAGATTTTTTTGGCTCAAAATCGAGGTTTTCGCCAAAGCCATATAAATCGTCGTCAAAATCCATGCCTTTGAGGTTCTTGTAGAAATTTTTAGCATTCAATGAAATAAAGGGCGTTAAAGACTTAATCTCCTGCAACTGCTTTGTCGTTCGTTAAGTCGTTCTTAAAAGCATACACTCATAATGAAACTCGCCAATTTCATTATGAGTGTATTTTAAGAAAATTGAAAATGATTTGTCTTTTTCTAATTTTATTACTTTGGTTTTTAATCAGCCAACCTTGTTTTTGTTTATGTCCATTTTTCGGTTAGTAATTTCTTTTTCTAAGTTTTCTACAGAGAAAAAATGTTCCGTGCTTATCTCTATTACAATCAATGGTATCTTTCGCCAGCAATGTTTCATTATATTGAGGTAATCTTGGCTTTTTCTATTTTAAGTAGGGTAGCAGCTAAGTATGTGCTTTAGCATTAATAGGATTTTGACACCACAGCTATCTGACCACATTATTAGAGTTTCTGTACTCCAAAAAAAGTTCTATAAATTTTTTTAGATATGACCCCACGTCTTGTGCTCCCCTTCTGGCCTCTCCTTCTTTCCATATAAAACAGTAACTTTTATTGTCAGAATATATGCCCTCATTATAGAGCCAGAGTTGGCGCTTGTATAAACCAAGATTTCTAGGAATATTCGGCAAAGACAAAGT